GGCTACTGAATTAACACCCAGTCAAGAATTCACAATTCTTGCGGCAACATCAGTCGACTCGCAACTCTTTCTACAGTCAGACATTCTTTAACAATTCCTATAGACTCCAGTGAAAGGACCAAACCTTATACTAAATGTTTATGGCTCCTACAGTCTTGGAAGTGTTTCAGATATTTCTATGTTTCGAAAAAGCGATATTTTTCAGATGCCTTTTTAAAAGACTACAATTTACAATCTACAAAATATAGATATTTTATTTAAAATTCAACCTAGTAGTAGTGACTACGTTACACTCCACTGCTGAAATCCGCTGGGTGTTAATGTCAAGCCCTGACTGTATTCATTGATTGTGATTTAACACTCCTTCTGATTACACATTCACCCTGAAGAGTTAAGATCTGAATCACTGTGGTTGTTCTTCCAGATTTGAGATTGAAATCGAGCCAATATTCGGATCACTGGCTCTGTATGATGTCAGAGAAAAGAAAAAGGTATGACAAAATATTCATAACCTTTTAAATGTTTGTTACTGAAAAGGTTGTGGGTTCAAATCCTGTGATGGGTGACAGGTTCATGATCATTCATATGCTGCATCCCTTTCATCCCTGCTCCTTTCCTCTCTCAGATTTCTGAGGATTTTCACTTTGACCTGAATTCGGATCAGATAAAAGGCTTGCTCCGACCCCACAACCCCAACGTAGCCATCTCCACCCTGACCCGATCTGCTATCTTCTCCATCACATACCCATCTCCTGAGATCTTTCTAGTCATTAAGGTATGTCCAGCAGGGGGCGCAGTGCCACATGTCCTACAGAGGGTGCAGGAGGAACTCTAGGACAGGGGTCGGCAACCAATGGCATGCATAGCTAAAGAGAGGTGGATGTATTTAGTTTAAATAAAGTCCCTCAAACTTGCATAGACGTACATTATGAGGTAACAGTGGCACAGCCTGTTTTATTTAGTTAGGAGTTATACTAAAACATTTTCACTGCAAATAAATATGCATTTTATTTTTAATATAAAAATATAATAAATATAATTGTATTATTTATATATACACTTACTTAATATTCACCAAGAATGGATTAAATTGATCAAACGTAACATTAAAGACATTTACAAAATAATTCTGTTTTAAATAAATGCTGTTCTTTTAAACTTTCTATTCATTAAAGAAAATATATTGGATCAGTTTCCACTAAAATAAGCAGCACAACTGTTTTTAAAAAGGAATTCTATGCATCAAGATATTTTTCATAAGAATGTCAGGACTTTAAGCTTTAGAGAGATATATATAACACGTTTTTACCAACTATTCTTTAGTTGGTAAAACTTGTCTGATATAGTTCAGTTTCTTGTTGGCTGAAAAAGAAAAAGGAAAGGCTTGTTTTCCTGAGTCCTGACATTTAAGCCGGTCACTATGTGTGTGTGACAGTTCTGTCACCTGGCCTCAGGCCTTTGGGACATCCTTATTGTTGAGCTCTGCTGTATCTGTGTTTCAGCTGGAGAAAGTCCTTCAACAGGGAGATATTGGCGAATGCTGTGAGCCGTACATGGTCATGAAGGAATCCGACTCCACTAAGGTACGAGTGTACCATGGGTTTTTGCATAAGTATTTCATCAGACACATCTGGCATGATTATGGTATCCTCTGAGCATTTCTCAACTTGATCTGGACTACCGCAATATTTGTCATTCTTTTTCAATATGAGCAAGGTCCAGTAGATGCTGGAGCCCGTTACTGCCACTGTATAATTCTGCTGCCAAGTTGCTTTTTTTGGTTGTTTGAAATGGCATGACAAATGCTGCTCATCCATTACCTTTACAACGGGGGCTGTGTGTGTATATGCAGCATAAGGAAAAGCTGGAGAAGTTGAAGACTCAGGCCGAGCAGATGTGCACTAGGCTGGGACGTTTCCGGATGCCCTTTGCCTGGACCGCAATTCATCTGCTGAACATCGTCAGCAGTGTTGGAGGGATAGACCGCTCAGATTCAGACTCAGACACGGGTATAAACCACTCAGTCAACACACTTTTTGTTTTAAAGTTGACTTTTTATTGATTTCTTTCTGAAGTAGTCACCTTGAAGATGTCCCTGAAATTAACACACACAAGGGATAGGCATTATGTTTATAACCGGGGCCTAAAATTGACTTTTTGTCACACCTGCCAATGGCAACACCAGCCATTAATCCTTATTAAAGTAACAAAAGTTATTCAGTCAAGAGCAAAAAGTGATTGTTCTTTGTCTTCTGTTGATTGATTAACATTAAAAACTCAGACAGCAGCAGGAAAATTAGGCTGCTGTCACTTTAAGGGCTAATGCATGGATTCAATATACTGTTACACATGCGTTTTATTTCTTAACTGGTTACGTTCAGTAAAGACATAACTCACTATGTTATGTTTACTAGGATACTTGCCAAAACGGGAAGTTTGAATATGTCTGTTCAAGTGCAAGACGTGAAAGAGAATTCTATTCACTATCCGTGCGCTGTCTGATACGCAGATTTTTGTGTGCGTACTTCCGATGTTTAAACTTCCCACACGCGCGAGGAACAAATTGAGTTTCCTTTCGTGTCGAGTAATTCAATTGGCAAGGCTTAAACTTTTGTGACGATGCAGCAATTGACACCATATCATATACTCGCAACTTATATCTGTATATTTGTTAGCATTTTTCCAATATTCGATAAATGTGCTCCACCATTTTGATCCAGAAATACATTAGCTGTGTCTCATTTTGAAGGCTGCGTTCTCCAGAGGTCCCATTAAATGTACTAACATTTAAATGAATCATTTGATCATTGTGCTTACAGCTGTAATTCATTTCTGTAATTACATCTATATTTACACTGTTGACCCACCCTTAAACTTACCCACACTAGGGTTGCCGCGGTGAGGAAAATTTCCCACCGGTTAATCGACGTGTCACAACACCGGTAATCCCGGTGTCACCGTGGGGGGCGGGGCGGGGGGGTTAAATAGCTTTTAAATGCGTGCGCGTTATACTTTCACTTTCGAAATAAGCGTCAATTGGCAATTCAGCGTCAATTGCTTGAATGGACAAAAAAACAACAACTCGGCTCGCTGATAATAAAACTTTTATTTATAGACAGAACTTTTATTAGCATAACGATCGAATAAAAATAACCCCATGCATAGGCTGAAAATCGTCAAACTGTGGGCCCAAACAAATAAGAACCATAAAACGTTTATTAACGAATAAGAAAATAAAACAGGCCTAAATAAATTACACATTCCGCCATTATCTTGCTTTTCTGTAATTTGACTCGTTCTCATCTCCACACGTGCTAAATGGAATCCTGATGCTTGCTGATCTGTGACATGACTGGCTCTTTGCACGCACTGCGCAGTTCAGTTTTTAATTATAATGTATGTTCTCTTCTGAACTAAATAATTGATAATTATTATTTTTAATTAATTCAAATAAATATTTTAGCAAAAACGAATACTTTAAAAAAGTCAAGACATCGCGGTGTCACGGTGGGAAAGTGATGTCACCGGTGATGGGGCTTAAAACCGGTAACACCGTCAACACCGTCTATCGCGGCAAGCCTAACCCACACCAACAAACCTGTCATAACCTTCGCCGGATCCCACTTCAACAGCAGCACAAGTGTTTTGCAATTTAACATCAAAAACAATTGTTAGGGACAATGTACTTATTGTGTTTATAACTATATAGTAATTAAAGACTCTTAATATAACGGCTGTGACTGTTATATTGAATATAGATATTCTATATTAAATATTTAATGTCTCCCAGCCCTAGTAGCATGACTCAATTATATAGCAAACAGCATTTTGTCATTCCTTACAGAGCGCAAGGGGACATGGAATGAGAGGAAGAAGAAAGGTTTTGAGAGGATGAGTGTTGGAGAGGACATGTGCAACTTCACAAACTTCCGGCCAGCCACTCTCACCGTCACCAATTTCTTCAAACAGGTCAGATCTCGAATTTTTTGTGTCTTGTGTTTCTGCTGATGGTAGTGTATTAGCATGATGTATTGTTTCCCTCACTAAATGAATGCTGGGTGTTTCTGTGGCGCTCCAGGAGGGGGACAGACTGAGTGATGAGGACTTGTATAAGTTCTTGGCAGACATGAGGAGGCCGTCATCTGTCCTGCGTCGACTCAGACCTGTGACGGGTACCTGGGTGCACTTATTTATTTTTTTACCTCTGTTATATTATTTAAGCATTTTATCACACACCGTCGGTCTCTTTCTCCGTCTAGCTCAGTTGAAGATAGACATCTCCCCGGCTCCAGAAGCCCCGCACTACTGTCTGTCTCCAGAGCTGCTTCATGTGAAGCCTTACCCTGACCCACGCGTGCGCCCCACCAAAGAGGTGCTGGAGTTTCCCGCTCGCTACGTCTACACCCCACACACTACCTATAGGTCAGTCCACACACAGACATGTCTATGGGCAGATAATAAATCTGAAAGTGTCATACAAGTATAATAATGTATCATAAAACTACATTCTGAGTGTGAACTCCTATGATAGGTGAAAACAAAAGTCCCTTCAAGGCAAGTCATTTCACTCGTGGCCATCTTTGAAACGCCTCTCGGCAGCTCCTATTTCTTTGAATGGGGAACCATGAAATTCTCCAAAGCTATTCAAGCTTTTGATTAAATTTCACATTTGAAATCACCACTGAAATCTGACAACAACTGTCTCATAATTTCCATAGCAACTGGAGCTTCTAAAGGCAGCGTATGCAATGACTTTACGAATTGGCGATTGGTTCTTTTATTTAGAAGGCGGGACTTGTTCTGCCATATTGCACATTGCACTTTCTCCCATTTATAGTAATATGAGTGCACCGTCTTTGTATATCTAAAGTCTTTGTGTGATTAACAGACATAAATGTAAGCTATTATCCATTGATCATCCTCCCCTCTGCCAGAGTTCACAAATCTCATTTATGTTTGTGTTAAAAAATGGTGTATTTTTTCATCTCATTGACACCAAATCACTCATTATACTTTTATTAAATAAGTTACAAACCACAAATACATATACAGATATATATTATGATAATTATGTTTTGTGCTATTATAAACATATTATCCATATTATAACATTATAGAAAATAGTAAAATGTTTGTTTCTGTGGTTAGGAATTGCATTCACACAGTTTTTACAAATATTTTACACAAAAATTCGCTGTGCTCGTGTTTCCTGAGGCCCAAAGTGCGTGTAAAGTGATTGGCAAAGTGGACATCTGTGTCATAAATGAACATGTAATAGGTGAGATCCGTTTGCCGTGCAATGAATGGAGTGTTGATGAGGATTGCAGTGCCTCCTCGTTGGTGATATTAGTGGTTACACCATATTCTGAAATGAGAAGCAAGTACTGGCATGAGCCGATGATCTACCGATGATCACATGTTTGCTAGTAAGTCTGCGCTCAGGCTTACCTGTTTCTGTAAATCAGCCAGCTGGTGGTTTTGATTCTCCAATTTCAGTTTCTGTTCTTGGGTCCACTTCATCAGATCCTTCAGGATAGAGATGTTTTTAAGTGTTGTGACCGGATATAATCGGTTATGTACAGTTAAAACTGTAAGGGTGTTAATTGAAAGGCAGTTCTGCATCTTAGCTACCTTGATCGTGCCTGGGACGGAGTTGTTTAGGTTTTCCTCCAGGATGGTTAGTTTTTTCTTTAGCTCTGCCTCCTCCAGCTCCACCCTGGTGACCGTTCCTCTGTTCTCTTGGACCTGAATCTGCAGTGCTTTCGTCTGAGCCTGCAAACAGACCAAATTTATTTAAAATTGAGCTTATATGTTTATTCATTACAGCCAAAACTTATGAAATGAAACCGTTTTGCCAGAATGGTAGCTGTGGGGTAAAGTGTGTCAGATAATTTGGGGTAAACTATGACAGTGGCTCAACTAAAAGTGATATTCTTATCAATAATGACAACATTCAAATGTTCCTGAATCAAATAAAGTGGAAAATATAATGAAATGCTAATACTATTACATGTATATAATTGGGCAAATTAGATTTACTCCTCCTTGCCTAGAGGATAACTTAAGTTAAAAGGGGCACTCTCCTCTCTGCTTAATATTCATAGACGAAGCTGTTAGTACATTTTGGAACGGACACTAATGGGAACTAGCACTTCTGTTACCTAATTGGGGCAGTAATTTCCAAATGGCCGATTGAACAGCCTGGCTAGTATTCCAGTCTGTCATGAATGCATGTCATTGATCAAGTGACTCATAGGCTCACCTGAATGAGCTGAAGTTTCTCTTTGATCTGTCGCTCGGTTTGAGCAGCCTCCTCCGTGTCGTGCCCCAGTCTCTTAACCTCGCTCTCGGTTCGGCTGATGGCTTTCATGACGCGGGCCATCCTGGCCTCTGTGCTCTGGTATATGTGGTGCAGGGACTCGCTGAACTGCACCACGCCATACATAAGGATGTTCACGTCATCCAAGGAGGCCGGGTTTCCCCCCGTTTGGAAAGATTTCAACGGAGATGTGGAGACCCTGTTCCCGCACAGAGTCAGAAACAGCACGCATAAAGCTGCCTGCATCCTGTTCTCTCCTTAAAAAACAAACTGTGACCGCCACAGGTGCAAGCAAACAGGCTGTTTTAATGTGCATGCATTGCAACATGGTGCTGCTTTTATAAGCTGTGACTATGTTGGACATTGGGAAATCAGCTGAGAGACAGGCCTATCAGAGCTGCGCTTACAGCTTTGTGTGTATGAGAGAGAGAGAGACCTTGACATGTTGGACAGACACATTTTTTGTGGTATTTAACCAGAGACGTCCTTTGCAGCCTGTTTGCCAATGCACTCTTCTCCTTTAACCCCAGAGGTGCCCGGATCATCCAGTGAACCCTTTGTCACACACTGCCATTTTAGGGCTATATTAATAAGAGATTGTAAACGATTGCTGCATTATTTATTTAAAGATCATGTTTAGCGTCACAGGAAGAGATACAGTAGGGGCCTGTATGTTCATGCTGCTGCTTCATGTTCAGTGTTTGATTTGGGGTAAAGTCAAGTGATTTGTAGTGCCTTTCGTGTCTATTTCTGTCCCTGTTCCTCAAACATGCAGACGAAAGAGTGTCACGGTGCTCCTCTTGTTTAGAATAGTGTGGTCAAAAAATGGTAATAGAATGAATTGCATGAAATGCTGATTCATTGATAGAATTAATCTCATATGTAATATTTGCTGAGAAAGCCTCCAAATGAAGATAATTCAAATACATGATTGATCTTTCTCTCCATATATTTTTCTCTAGACTGTTTACATAAGTAGTTGTATTTTTGACCGTTTACAATAGGAATTGAAGCTTAACTATATTAGTAGTTGTAAACTTGACCATTTACAATAAAAATGTAAGCTTAACCATTTTTATTTGTAATTGTAAACTTGACCGTTTACATTGGGAATTAAAGTTTAACCATTTACATTAAAATTTGAAATATGTCCGTTTATAATAGTAGTTGTAAACTTGAACGTTTACATTAAGAGTTGAGACGTAACTGCTTACATTGGTAGTTGAAACTATACTGTTATAACAGTTTATAATAGTAGTTGTAAACTTGACTGTTTTACATTAAGAGTTGAGACGTAACTGCTTACATTGGTAGTTGAAACTATACTGTTAGAACAGTTTATAATAGTAGTTGTAAATTTGACTGTTTTACATTAGGAATTGAAGTTTAACCATTACATTTAAAAGTTAACACTTAACCGCTTCTAACTTGACCCTTTACATGAGCTTAAACTTAACCACAAACTTATTTGTGAAGGTTTACATTAGGTATTGATGCCTAAACATTTAAATCAGCAGTTGACATTAGTAATTTGAGGTGTAACCAATGTTCCCTCAAATTTTTTTTCTTGCTGAGCAAAACTTTTTTCTATTGGGCGGACATTTTTCGCCACCTGAGCAAAAATATTCTTTATACCTGACCTGTGCAGCATACGTAGAAACACAATGGTTTCAACATTCAGTTGTAACTTTTAACTTGAATGTGCCATTTCTATTTTATTTGACCCTTGATGTAACTTATTGGTATCAAATCATATTTCCGAAAAACAAGCTTCTTAACAAATTAAGAAGTCACTAAATGAAGCACATTTTAGGTTATCTGTTTTTTTTTTTTTTTTTTACAGTACTGTTAACTGTACAGTCTTTAGCAAGAAATCCTTTGAAAAATAATTGACAAAATCTTCTGCAGGACAGTTCAATTCTTTACTAGAATATAGTATGAAAGAAAAGTAAGCTGTTGCACCGAGATGGTTTGGGAAAACCATAAAGTGTTTTTGTACAGTCAGTGAATTGTGTACAGGATGCATTAAACCATCAAAGTTAAAGATTGTTTATTGCTTATGAATTTCCTATATTTTCTTTAGCAGGGGGTTTCAAACTTTTTAATGGCAATGAGCCCTAAATAAAAACCCTTGTGAGATTCTTTATTTAGTCTTATAATATAATAAAATATAGGCATAATATAATATAAAAAAAACGAATTGAAGTATTTGAAGTGATATAATATATCAGTTTAAATGCTTAAATTTGTTTACATATTATATTATTATAATATGAAAACAAAGCATTTAAATAGATCTAATAGCTAAATATTTTCAAGAAAAGTGAATATAATCTAATCTTTTATAATCTAACCATCCCTGAAACTCCCCCACACACACAAAAACATCTATTTAATCTAATGATGTATTTTGAGTTTGCATGCGGGTGGGTGTGTAATTGTTACCGTTCTGTGTCCATCAACCGTTATTTCCACCACTTTAATCAAACCACTCTTCTTTAAAACATTATGATGTGATTTTATTTCGCGTGTCTATCTATGCATTTCTCGTTGCCTCTCGTATTGAGCTATCTGGTCCGCACACACGACTTACTGCCAATCACACGCGCTCACATCGTTCTCTTTCTATGAAACCTGTAAACTGCATTCACCAGTTTTCTCTCTATAGCGGTTGACCAGAGCACTGAAATTAATTCTCACTTAAACTACAATCAAATGGATTTCCCCACACGTTTCGCGTCAGTCCTCTGCGTGTCATTTTATTCTTTTCTGCGCGGCCGAGGCATCAGAAGTGCGCGGCCGCGCACGCACGCAGCTTAGAGGGAACATTGGGTGTAACCATCGGCTAGGGGTCACGTGACTGGGAGATCCCTATATTAGTAGTTGTAAACTTAACCATTTTCAAAAGCAGCTGTAAACTTGAAATCTACTCTGCCGTTTAAAAGTTTGAAATCACCGGTTCGGTTCAAATGTATGAATCTCTTAGAATTAACATTATAGAACATTATTAATGTTGCAAATATTCATTGCTGATTGAATGACTGTTTAATAAATAAGTTTTACAGTAATTGTAAAGCCTCATTTTCAGTCCTCAGATCATTCTAATATCCTTGTTTGGTACTCAAGAAACCTTTCTCATTATCTCAGTGTAGTTGAAAATGTTTGTGCGGCTCAAGGAAGTGTGACAGTCGCAATGCAGTGTCTTTTTTCAGTTGCCAAATTGAGGACACTTGCATTTGCTGAAGTCCAAATTTGCTTTCAAACAAGGAAGCACCTTTCTCGAGAAACTCGTTTTAGTGACTCCGTTGACTCAATCTATTGTCCTTAGTGGTGCACGCTCAAGCATGGCCTTCATTTCTGTGTTGAAACAAGGACGCAAGCTGTGTCTAACCAGTGAGAAATTGGGAGAAGTGGACTGAAAATAAAAGTTATAAGTATAAAAGTTTCATAGACTTTGCAAACTTTAATGGGAGTGTGCATACTAGTTCTGAACTTTGAGGTTTATATCATCTACAGGCCCTCTCATAAACCATTGCTGGTTTGATTGAAAAGGGTTCATTATTGAATGTATTTCCCTCTCTCTTCTCCTCAGGAACCTGTTGTTCATTTACCCTCAGACTGTCAACTTCAATAGCCGGCAGGGTTCAGTGAGGAACATTGCAGTGAAGGTGCAGTTCATGGCAGGAGAAGATCCCAGCCAGGCCATGCCTGTGAGTCACCGATCACACCCACGCCCTGTACTCCCTCACGGCTCTAGTCACACTGTCAAAGCATATTCTCATGGAAAGACAAAAAAAAAACATTTGGAATTATGCAAGTACATCTGATACGATGATCTCATCGCTTAGATAAACCTAATTGTGCACATTAAAGCTCTCCAGATCTGTGCCAAGAATATGACAGCGCCTCCTTAAAACGAATCGATCCACATCACAGTATTTTAGCTCTAACTAAACACACAGGTTACATTAGTCACTCCAACCAAATCTCCAGATGGATTAAGAAGCGCTCTGGGAGATTTTGGAGATTTCAGTGAACTCGCAGACACAGGACCTTTTACATTGGGTTAATCTAATCAAGGATTTTTAGAAACTCCCTAATAGTGTTAGTGCTGCATTCGCACACCAGTTGCTCACTCTGAAACATCCGTAATTTATTTAAGGCTCGTGTGAGGCCATATGCAGTGCAGGTACATTAGAGGCTAAATTCATTTTATGACAATTAGAAAATCCATCCACGGCTTCATGATTAGCGAGGGCAACATCATGGCTGAAATGTTACTCCCCAGTGACATCTAGTGGAGCCGTTGAGCTGTGAATCACCAATGTAATGTGATTTCCACCCTCTGAACAGGTCATATTTGGAAAGTCGAGCTGCGCTGAATTTTACAAGGAGGCGTACACCCCAGTGATCTACCATAACAAGTACGAACTCATGTCTCATTCACTATTCATTACAGAATCATCACTTTTTATTCATTTTAGTCATGTTAAGAATTGTATTACATTTACTTTTTACATACAACAGTGGTTTTTGACTCAAAGGCCTCCAGCACTATATATTTTTTGAGAAAGAGTCTCTATGTTCATCAAGGCTGCATTTATTTGATCAAAAGTACAGTAAATAAATGTGTGAAGTATTATTTATATATATTTATTATTTACAATATATTTTTTAAATGATAAATCAATTTATTCCTGTGATGGTAAAGCTGAATTTTCAGCATCATTACTCGGTGTCTTCAGTGTCACATGATCCTTCAGAAATCACTCTAATATGATGATTTGCTGCCCAAGAAACATTTCTTATTATTAGCCATTTTGAAAACAGTTGTTCTGCTTGATATTTTTCCTCAGGATTCTTTGATGAATAGCAAACATTTTTGTAGGTAACACTTTATTTTAAGGTGACGTAGTTACGCGTTTATACATGTACTTACTATAGTAATAACAGTAAATTATGCATAATATTATGCTCAGTACTTATTTGAGTTAGTACAATGTAACAGTCACCTTAAAATTAAGTGTAACCTTTTTGTAACATTATAAATGTCTTTACTGTCACTTTTGATTATTTTAATGCTTTCATTTTGTGAGTCTAGAAGTTTTAAAAACTGTTCTTCAATAAAAAGCATTTACCTCTTGATTGTATGTTTTTATTTTATTTATTTTTTTAGCATTTTAACGAAGTTAGAGTTGTTTTAATATATGAATAATATTAACATCAAATATATTAAATATATTATTATTAATTCTGATAATAATATAGTATTAGAAATAATTTGAAGTTACCCAGTTTAGTTCACCGAGGCCCCCTAGTGGGTCCC